ATATTTTTAACCAGTTTTTCAGATGTTCTAAATAATATTTAGAAATCCATAAATATAAATTTGAACTATAAATTAAAATAATTGTAGAGCCTAGGTATACCTATTATTTATTMAATTTTGATCATTTAAAGATTTTAAATACTGTTTGCTATTAATTTTAAAGTTTAAAATATATATTTAATATACTTCTCAAGATCTTATTTATGTTAAAATCTCAACAAGCGAATTATGAAGTGGTTTATAACTATTTGTTTGATGTATCAATGACACTTATAATATTTAATTCTTAGAAATTCATAGGTAACTACTTGCATTGAATTAGTTATTAGTTAATAATTTATTTTGTGAGAATATTTCTGAATATATTATGGTGTGTTCTAGTAGTTTGTGATTAATAATAGAATTATATATATTATATATAAAAAAGTGTACCCATTATAATATAATGAAAAATGTTTTTTCTATAGAAAAAAAAAATAACTTCATGTAATATAAWTAATTGAAATCCATTTAACGTAATAATTTATAATTAAAACATATCACATTTTAAAATACGTGATTTGTTTTAATATGGAAGGGTGTGTCTAAAATGTAAATAATAACCAAGTATTAAAAACTAAAAAGTAGAAAGTCTTGACTAAAAAATATATTTATTGATCACTGTGTTCCTTATATTCTTGCATTTTTATATGTTACTTGTCTTTTAGTATTTCTTAACTGTTATATACCTACCTCAGATATTTTTATGTTTTTAAGATATATTTAAAAGAACCTTTGAATATTTTAATTTAAAACAATACAAATCAAGTGTAATACTATTCATAGTTTATAAAATATTCATTATAATTATTTACTAATTTAAATTATTCTATTTCTATGATTAATAATTATGAAGGAGTTTACTATGTAGTTTGGTCATACATGATTCGGATGATATTCTATGATCTTTTAGTATAGAATTTAGGTATATTATATTGGTATGTAGGAATTAATAAAATATATTATAGTTACTCATAACATTCCCTAGAAAACGCATTTTTAGTTAAAATTATTTTGTATTTTTCTGTTATCTGAGGCTATATAACAGTGTTTCTCAATCTACGGTACGCTTACCACTAGTCGTGCGTGGAAAGCTTATATGTGGTATGCTAATAAAATCTCACTTTATGAAAAAAATTGAAATGGATTGGATATTAAATATTACTTAATTTATTTGTTATCAATAATAATTGTGAATATTTCATTTTTCCATTAATTGTGCATGAAATGCTTACATTTTCATAAATTTGCAGTTCCTAGAGAAATAAYATTCCATGCATATAAAATAACATATATATTTTTGATACCTAAGTAAAAAAAATGTATTTGGTTAAGTGTTACATAAACACTTTCAAACTTTGTAGGTGGTATGAATATAGATATAAAAATATTGAGAATCGCTGCTATACATTTATGCATATATTAACTCACATATACTTTAACATAACTAAGTGTTAAAGTGTATATTATTATATACTGTGGCCAGTGGGTTTTTAAATATATACTATTTGATACCTTCATCAAGGTTYATACCAAAAATACTAAATAAAATATTCAAAATTTCATTTTTATTTGACTATTTGTGTTTTATGTATTGTGAAATAAATTTSTGTCAAATCAGATTTTTTATATACAACTATCTAAGAATTACCTAACTAAGTGGTAATTGTAGATAATGTGGAAAAATATTTTACTTAGGTCTAGAAAATATTCATAAAATAAATCAGTAAAAGTTTCTTATCATAAATACCAAAAATTGGGAAAGTTAATRATCTTAATAATATTTTTAAATATTGTTTGGATAGAAATATAGTCTGTATCTGTGGACCTCAATTCACTTATATCATTATTCTGATAAGTCCACAAATGCATGACATTATATTATAAATAGTAGATTGTGGATATTTTAATATATTTCTTTTTCTACTTGTTTTATTCTATTAGGTTATTGAACACAAACATTTATATTCAAAATCAGAGACGTTTTTAGGAATTTTGCAYCCCAGGTACCTAAGAAAAAAAATGCCCTCTTTCAACCTAAATTCCTTTAGCAATAGGTGTATTTATAAAAAAAAAATATGATAGCTTTTAAGTATCTGAGTGTCATTTATTTTATAACCTAACCTAACCTAACCTAACCCAAATCAGGGGCGTCCTCAAGGGGGGGGGGGGCGAATGGGGCAGTCGCCCCCTCCATGACCTCTATTTTCTTTCTTAAAATTAATTAAAAGGTAAAAAACCTAGTAATTGGTGTATTTTCATATAAATATATAGGTGATGTATGAAGTTCGCCCCCCCCCCTATGAAAGGGTCTAGGGACGCCACTGACCCAAATGACCTAGGTACCATATTATTATATTAAAATGCTTTACAAAATTTACCGCCCGGGCCCTATACCCCCCCTGCCTCCCTAAATATGTCACTGTTCAAGATAATTATATATTTGTGTTTTTATTTTAATTTAGATACCAATGGATTTTCAAGAATCCAATAACACAGGTTATTGGGGYAAACCTACAGCTACCATTGATTGGTGTGAGAAAAATTATGAAGTAAATTACTATGTGGCTGAAATGTGTAAGTGGGTCAAAATTAAGAAGTAGTATTGATTTTAAGTATAATTTAAAAATGTATTAAAGGGAACACTATCAGTAACTTAATGATGATAATACCTCCATTATGGGGTATTTGGGACATGAAAAAACAAAAATTTGCTCAAAGATTTTTTTTTTGTTATTCATTCATTCTGGGTATGTAAAGTCTACAATAAAATTATTTTGATAATTTTAAATAAGTATATTCAATTTTTAGTGGTTGGTTTTGGCAGTTTGGCATTTCACATGACACTTTTGTATGAAATGCAGTTATTTGATGAATTACCAATGGTTTGGGGAACATGTTATTGTGTTTATTGCTTGTAAGCTTATTAAAAAAAAATTTTTTTTTATTTAAATTTTATGTTTATTCATTTTTTACAGATCAATAGTAAAACATGATATGAAATCTAAGACTATTCCAAATAAATTGTTACTATTAATATTGATAACTATAAGTATTGGATTTGCAATAATCTATCTAGCTTGGCCACAACCTTTACTGCAACATTTTTGTTATGGTATACTAGTTGCTATATCCTTAGCACAAGAAATCAAATTAATATTAGAATTTAAATGTGCTGTTTGCAAACGTATGTTTATTGTCGCAATAGCATTGTACCTGTTTGGGTTTTTTTTGTGGAACATAGATAATATACTCTGCAAAAATATTACGTAAGTTTTTGTTTGATATATTTTAAATGAATAGTTCATTAAGTTTGATGACCTTGTWTGTCAGAAACACTTTAAAATAAAAATAAAAAAATAAAAATGAGTTGCTATTCTTTCATATTCTACTATTGAACTGAAATAATTTGAACCAAAAAATCGACAACATTTATTAATATGGATTCTGAAATATCATAATTTGCTCTATTTTCTCTTTTATAAGAATAACTTTATATTATTTTTTCCTGCTCTTGACTCCTAAGTATTTTTCTTTGTTATGTGCTGTTCACAGCTTACCCTTGGTCTATACTAAATTACTAAATCATTGAAAAAACTTTATACCAAAACTGAATTTTACTAACCAATTCTAAGATTTTCATTTATTTATATATACAGTATTACAGTGTGATCACAATTTAAGGTAGCACTAAATATCTCTGGTGGATAACCTTGTATTGACATGTAGTTTTTGGAAGGTAATAGGGAATTGCCTAACTACATATTTTCAGAGAAATTTCAAATTTTTAACACTTTTGGTATGCACATATGCGCTATAGGACTTACATTTTTTCAAATGGAAACACTATTTTATTTCTACATTTAAAGATTTAATGCAACACAATATGTTATGTTTGGAGCATCCATTTGGCCTCTATTACATTCATATATATTCCATATATTCCATAAATTATTAAGTTCCAATTAGTCCTAGTAATTTTAATATTTTTAAAAATAATCATTTATAATGATATTTAAATATAATTGCAGCATTAGTGTTCTAYTTTAGTGATGAATAGATTTACATTTATACAATGTGGACATTCATTTTATGAAAACATTTCCATAATGTCAACAAATTTCCATCAAAATCCATGAAAGTTATTCATATTGTGTATAAAAAAAGGTGGACACCCACTTCACGAAAAAAACAATTTTATTAAATAGATGTGACCTAAATTTATAAATATACATTTATTTTCATATTTACTGTATACCTAGGTAAAATCTAACTATCTATTTATTTTTAACTGTACAGGGTCCTAAGAGAACAGATTCCAATGTTTCTTCAACCATTCACTCAGATGCATGCCTGGTGGCATATATTTGCTGGCTATGGAGTTTATATTCAAGTTCTATTTTGGTAATTATTTTTTAACACTTGATTTWTTTAATAATTTTATTGGTTTTAAATTTCTTAATTATTTTTCTATTTTAGTATTCACAGCACATATGATTACCATAAAAAATATAAACAATCAAGTATACTTTTACCAGAGCATATGTATTTTAGTATACGTTGGCAAAAAACTACAAAAAGTTATTAATCTTTCAATATAAGTCTATAGTAAACAAGTATTATATTATTTTTTGTTACAATATACTCATTGTACTTGTATGTATTTTGTTAAAACGAATACAGTATTTAGATACCAATTCAAAATTAGATTATTACATTTTTTTGCTATTATTATAGTATGGTAGTATTAATTTTTATTTGAGTTACCTAATAAAATTAAAGTTTATTTATTATTTCATAATTAATTGTAAACAAAAAATAATATAATACAGTATTTAGATACCAATTCAAAATTAGATTATTACATTTTTTTGCTATTATTATAGTATGGTAGTATTAATTTTTATTTGAGTTACCTAATAAAATTAAAGTTTATTTATTATTTCATAATTAATTGTAAACAAATAAATGTAATACTTTTTAAATTTGATTTGGAACTTGAAGTGATATAATATTTTAGTTAAGAATTGATTCCACTTGTTAAAATTATTTATCTAATTCGTTCATACATTTTTTTATTTTTAGATCAATAATCAAACCATGTAAATTACCGTTTCCCAACTTTTTTTGATTATATATTTATATATAAGAGTCACTTAATTCATAGATTTTAAATTTTWGACTAAATAAAGACAATAGATCTTACATCAGTCAGCAGCAGTATAATAATAAGAAAAAAGTCATGATTTTTATTTGTTTAACACTTGTTGTTATAAACTATCAACCACAAACATGACCCATTAGAATAAAATTAATTATTTCTATAAAGTCTTAATGAATACCATCATTTCATTAGAAATGATTGTAAAAATTATTTTTTTAATATACCTATATGGCTATAATTGTAATAATTTTGGTTTATGTGAGCTTTATTTCAAATTGTTAGTAA